CGGCTCACAGGATCACGCTGTCTCCTGGCGCGGCCGCTCAGACCCGACGCCATCTTCCCAAGAGTAGCACTATTGTATTTTAAATATTTTTTTAAAGTGATATCAAATCTCTGTGGATTATCTTTTTAGTCATAAAATCATATTATGCTCATTGAGAATAACTGTAGCACATCAATGCCCTGACCATACCATTGCTTTGGTAGAGAGAAACTGAATTGGAATAAGATTTTGTTCTGAAATTTATCACTGCGTCTTTATTTGAAACTAGGAAAATACTGCTTCTCTTAAAGCTAAAAAGTCTTGAAAATTGGGGAAACAATTTATTGAGTTTAACAACTCCTGAGTAAAAAGTCTGATAAATATTAATTAAAGTCTGATAAAAATCTATGAACTGAATGTGGTTCTGAGTCCCCGCTGTCCACACCCCTCCCTCAGTGACAGCAGACAGATGCACATTCCCCGTGGAAAGATACTAGAGAAGCATTATCTGGAAAAAAATGTTTAGATACCGACTTGGGGAATCCCCAAAAGAAAACCTCCATTTAGCTATAAAGAAGGTCACCAGAAGACAGCCTCAACTAGTACTCGCAGAGCTTCCAGCAGCCTTTCTTATGCCTTTCTCATAAGTATTAAAGTCCAGCCCAGGATCACGAGTGGAGGAAAACCTCCAACAGGAAAGAGAGATCAAACAAAGCAGGAAAAACCAAGAAGAAGAAGGAAAAAAAAAAGATACTCAGAAAATACAGAAACAATCCAGGGTGCTGAAGAAAAAATAGTCTATATTATCCTGAAAGAGAATAAAAGAAGGCTTCCATGAAAATGGAACATAAAACAAGATGGAATTTTTGAAAATTAAATATACAACCAAAAAAATTAAATATCCAGTAGGATAACTGGAAAACAAAGTCAAAGAAAGGACTCTAAAATACAACAAAGAAATAAAGTGTTAAAAACTAAGAGCAAAATTATTTTTTAAATTAGTAGATTATTTAGTACCTATAACATCTAAAACCAACAGAAATTCTAAAAAGAGAAACAGTGGAAGCAGAGGGGTGAGAAGGTAGCAAAGAAATAATGAAGTAAAATTTAACAGGGCTGAAGTTTTAAGTCTCCAGATTGAAGAATACACCTTATTCCAGAATAAAAATGAAACTGAATTTTAAAAGAGCCATCCAAAACAGTGGATGAAGGAAACATCCTAAAAGCTTCCAGAGAGATAAAACAGTTCACGTAGCAAGGAATGGGAATCACAAAAGCATTGGATTTCCTAAGACCAAAACTGGAAAACTGAAGAAATGCCTTCAAAATTTGGAATGATGATGACTTCCATCTGACAATACTATACCACCAAACTATCAATCAAGTGTGAGAGCCCCATAAAAATATTTTCTGACATGCAAGCATCCAAAAAATATAATTCCCAAAACACTTTTTCTTAGGAAGTACACTTCAGCAAAATAGAGGAGTTAAAAAAGAAGGAGAAAGGACACAAGATATAAGAAACAGAGACTCTAATCAGAAGAGGACCAAACTAAAGTTTCGGTACAATGGCTGTGCAGCCAACCTCAAGTGAAATCCAGGGCACACTGCAGCAAGCAGCTACAGCAATGAGGTGTCCCAGAAAACAGAAGTTGGAGTAGTTGTCATGTTCAACCACGTGGAAACAGTACAAAGAGGGCATTTATAATCCTTTTGGAAGAGTTGGGAAAAAGGAGTAATAGGTATGCAGAAAACTAGGAACACAAACAAAAAAAGAAGGCAATTATTAACTCTAAGAAAAATAAAAAGGTCTATGAGAAAGAAAAGATAATCAACATAGAACAATAATTACACAGTGGTAATAATGTAAACATTGAATATTGATTTGACTAAAATCATGCTATAACTATATGGCAGTATGGTAGATAGGGAAGAAGAGGAATTAAGAAAAAAAAAATCCTTATCTAGCACAATGATAAATCAAGTATCACAAGAAAAATCTTTAAAAAGTATTAAAAATGGTTATTTTGGAAGAACAGAACTGGGACTTGCCAAGGGGTGGAACAGGAAACTTGTTTTTCTCTATAAGTTTTTTAGTACTATTTTATATTGTAAACTACATTGATGTGATACTGATTAAAATAAATATAAATATAAAAACTAAAACAAGTTTAGAAAGAAATCAGGCTACTGGATTAAAAGATTAAGCTAAGTATATTTAAACGTAACCAAAGGAGATGATTGCAGCTAATCTTGGTAAGAAAATGAAATGTAGGGTTGCCTGTTACTCAGAAAATATGGCCTGGATACAGCCATTTAAGAAGAATTAAACAGATTTTTTCTTTGTTTCTTATAAATATATACCATTTCTAAGAAATTCAAATACAAAATTTATAATAATCCTTATTAACTTATACATTGAAATACCTACATGTAAATAAATTATAAAAGTTCTTAAGGAAATACAAGTCCAATTTATAAAAAAAGAAAAAGTAAAAAGCTTATGGTAAACAAAATTAATTTCAAATGATTTAAGTAAATGTGTGTCCAAGATGAAGATTCACAATTATTTGTTCTCTTTATCTACTTTGCACTGAAGTTTACGAAGTTTCTGTTTTAGGTTGCTGTTTTATTTTTAAAACTCATATAGGATATTCAACTTATAAAAATCAGAACAGTAAATCTAATCATTCTTCCTGAAGACATGTGTCTATGGTAAATGTGTACATTTGGAATTGCCTTCATTGATAATTTGATTTTTCTAAAACTGAGGGACTCAGCTTTAGATGATGTTATATGTCTCTCACGTCAACAACATTTAGGGCTGGTGTCTCCAACACTGGGTGCCTAAGATAATCCACTGGGAGACAAGAAAAAATATTAAAACCTTTGATTTTTATATGCACCTCTTTATATTTTATTTCTGTATATTCTGTTACGTACTATAGAATCTTTGTACAACAATATATGTGTAGAAAATGTGGGTATAGAAATAAGCCTGAAAATACTGGCAGTGTACAGTATTCTAAAAAAAAAATTTACTGATGGGATGTAATGACCAAAAATGTTTGGAGATCACTAATTTAGGGAGGCGTCTCCCTGCTTGTAGTTAGTAAACCATTAATAGTCCATGGGAGTAACAGATGTGTTCATGAACAAAGGCAAGAGAAAGTTAATATATCATCCTAAGCTAAAAAGTCAGCTTTAAGTTATGATTGAGAATTACACAACTGTGAGGGAAAAATAAACCCCCTAATTAGTAAAATTTTATCCAACATTAGGCCAACTTGCTATAGATAAAAATATTGTGATAAAAACCGTACGTTGAAGTATACAAATGACTGAATTTTTTATACCTCTTGATATGTACATGTGTCACCCATAAGGCACAGACTATGGTAAAATGGTTCAAAATACTGTGTTCACATGGTGGTCATAAAAGCTTTTGTTGATGAGGTGGTGCTGCACAGAAAGAAAAAACCTGGAAACCATTGATTTGGGAATTAAATATTCTAGCATTCTAAGAGAACTTTATTCTCTCATTTGGACAAAATACAATTCAATCATATATAGAACTATACGGGGTCTTCAAAAACTTTGTGGAAAGATTGGATTATCTTTTAATTCCATCTTTCTGCAAATGTTTTTAAGTATGCTTGTACTAGTCAATGTCCGATATGTTAGCCATTAGTCATAACAGGAATGTTTAAATTAGTTAAAATTTAATAAAATTTAAAATGTATTTCCTCAGTCACACTAGCACATTTTAACTGTCCTATAGCCACATGTGACCAGTGGCTACCATACTGGATGGCACAGATGCAAAACCTTCCCATGAGTTCCAAAAGTTCTACTGGACACTACTACTCTAGAATAATATTCTACTCTAGGATAATATTCAGAACTTCTTTAGTAAAAAATTCTAAGATTTTTATACTTACTAACTGTTACTTTGTCCTTATCCCCCAACATAATGTTGTTTGGTGTCAGATCTCTATGGACAATCCTCTTCTCCTTGTGTAAGTACCGAAGAGCTAAGCACAGCTTGAAACAATGAACAAAAAACAAATTTTATTTCCCCAAATATACATACAACCGGTGATGACTACTGCACCTGTCTCTGAGAAACCAGCTCAGAACTTTACTGTTTTACGAAAAATTTAATGAAGATAAAAGCATACCTGTATAAATATTTTCCATAGTCTTTCTTCAGTAAAGTGGTGGTGTTTTTCCTTCAAAGAACTGAAATGCTCTCCCAGTGGGGCTCCTTCTATTAGCTCCATAACTATATACAACCTATCATCTATATAAATAACACAAAAATATATAGAAATTTAAATGTAATGTAGACATGTTGAAAAAACCTTACGAATTAGAGTCCAAGCTTTCTAATGTTTGTGCAGGATTAGAGATGTGCCAAAATATGTATCCACCCAGCTCTGGAGGGGGAGGGAACAAGGGGGGTCTTAACGTAACTGGAGCACAGTGACAGTCTCTTCTAGCTACAAGTTTCTTTCCTAGCGCAAGTTTACACCAGCAAATGTTATCATTTTCTATGTACACCAAGACGAGGAAGGGTTGGAAGTGCCAAAGAGAACAAGCAAACAATCCCATCGTGGAGGGTTCCCTGAAAAACATGTAAACCCACCTTTCCTCTCAATAGTCTAAAATTTGCCCTCAGCTCAAGTCAGACGTTCAGAAAATTGCATTTTAAACTGCATTGTTTTGTAGCCTCGTAGAGTTACCTTATAGAATTTTACACTGAAATCATGCCATGGTCTTGCAATGACACAATTGAAAACACCACTCATAAGAGAAATTTCTGTTATGACCCTGAAGAGCACAAGAAGCTGAACTCCTCCCGGTTTTATCTCATGGATATTGGAAATCTCATGACTGACTGTGATTGTGACTGTCTCTTTGCTTTGGATGCCAAGAAACAAGTAATTACTACTTCCTCCTCTAAAATCAATATAAAACTATTAACAATGGTATGTGGGCCTGGCCCCGTGGCTCACTCGGGAGAGTGCGGTGCTGATGGCGCCGAGGCCACAGGTTCGGATCCCATATAGGGATGGCCGGTGCACTCACTGGCTGAGCGTGGTGCAGACCACACCATGCTGAGGGTTGCGATCCCCTTACCAGTCAGGAAAAAAAAAAAAAAACAATGGTATGTGATATGTGTCTTTTTGTGACTTTTGGATATATATAAAATATGCATATACACAATATTTACAAAAATTGAATCATACTCTACCAGTTATGCAACTTATCCTATTTTTCATTAAACAGCCTTATATTTCAGTACACTCAAATCCACACCATTCTTTCTGTTGGTTGCTTAATGCTGCATAGTAGTATTGCACAATACAGATATATCATAATTTATCTAATCATTCTCCTGCAGATAGATATTTATACTGTTTCTATTTTTCCATAATTCCAAGAATTATTTATTGTATGTACTGGTTTTCTAGTTTTATTTTTAATTTTCTCACCTTTTATTTACCTTTATTGCAATTTCCTAATCTATTTTATTATATTTTGTGCGTTTTTAAGCCACTTCGAATTCTTTTTGGAGGCTGTCAGGATGTAAAAAAGTTTTATTTTGTTTCTATATTAAAACAAGTTGTGTCAGTTCGGTACAAGGCAGAAACCAATCTTGATCTCTCTTTGAAGGGATATGCAATAAATTATGGGAAATTATTCTAATATCAAGAACAAGTGGCTAAGGGGGCAGCATTTACTTCAGTACTGAGTTCTTGAGTCACCTAGAGGAAGGGAGATGGGTAAAATCATAACAAATGACAAAGTGCACAAACGATTTTCTTAAATAATAACGGCACTGATAAAGAGGTACAGAGCCCCAATTATGCCTTATATTTCCTTAAATCTTCCTTCAAATGAAGATTTACTTTGAAAATTCCTAGGTGACACAGATCATTAAGATTTACCATTACCTATGTTATTTCCATCAATAATCCTATTTTTAAAAAAAAAAAAAAAAAAAAAAGACTGAATTTGGCCTTATCTCAACGTTTTGATACAGTATTTCATCACACTGGCAGAAAGAGAGCCTGCTTGCCTGCAGAATCAGTCAAGGCTCTATCGCCACCTTGTGGCATTTACCTGAACTTCAACTAAAAGAAATCTCAAAGACCTACCCCACGACAATTTATTTGGGGAGTCGAAAATGTCATCTGATTCAACAAAAACAACATCTCATTCTTTCTTAAAGAAAACACCATCCTTAGTTTTCTTTTCACCTAATCCTATTAAGTGCTTTTTTGTATATGAAAGTCGCAGTAATAACTATTTGGGCTTATTCATGTTGTGACATTCTAATACAAAAATATATAAATAACAAAGATAGAGTTCCTTAATTAGAAATATCATGAAAACTCATACTTACTTTCCAGAAATGTTTTGTAATAACGAACAACATTGGGATGATAAAGCTGTAAGAAAATAAACAACAAATATTTATACCACTACTTCAAAACACAAATTTTTCTTCACACACTATTTAGTTGGACTTCATTTTTGAAAACAACAAGGAAATTATTATGTTTATATTTATCTATAAAACTAAGCATTTCAAGATATCATTGAGATTTATGATTTTTAAAAATTTGTTGCTTACGTAACTAATCTGAAAATAGCAATCTCCTATATAGCTTTATCAAACAAAATTTAAAACTGTGCTTTATCAGCTAACTTAATTAACATAAAGAATTGTAGAACTAGAAGGAACTGTAAGAATTCATTTAGCACTCCCTGCCTCAACACCACACACAGACTGCATAAAGGAGAAACCTGAAATGAAATAATTTATCCATATATTCATTGCTCTTTTCCTCTCTCTACCACTTAAATATTTATATACAGTGCTAATGTCTATTTACTATTTCTGTCTTTCTATGCTCTCCAAAATGATGAGTATGAAACTGAAATCATCTAAGAGTTAACTCAGTTTAAATCATAACAGTTGACAAAGACTCCCTCCTTGACCAAACTTAAGTCAGGTTTCTCTGAGCCCTCTTTTTGAGGAGGCCCCATCCTTGGCCTGCCCAGTTTTTAGCAAGAATCCTGCTAAGCTAGTTTATCAAGAATCCCCCTAGCCTTAATATCCAATCAAGTTCCTTATCCTCCCACCCTTGATATCTAACCAGGTACCTCAATATTTTCCATCCACTGACCGCCTCATCCGGCATGTCTACTGTAAAACCTCAACTGTCCTTGTTGAATTCAGAGTTGGGTTTATCGTGTCTCCTCTATTACAACAGTTTGACCCTTTTTGCAATAGTATTGAATAAAGTTTTTCTCGCTATCTTTTAAGTGTCTGATGTAATTTCTCTTTAACATAAGTGAATGTGATGTTCTCTTTAACATAAGCGAATATGGATGTGAGTGGAAATTCTACTTTTTTTAAATTTAAAAAAGACTATTTTCTACAAGAATACTGAAATTTTTGTGGTTGTTCATTTATAATTTGAGTTTCTAGGTAAATTAAAATTTTCCCTATCTCAGAAGAGCTGCCATTACCTCTACAAATGGTTTTCATCTCTTTGTGGTCTTTCTGTGTGCCTTTTTGAGGGGGAGACTGGTAGCTGTCCACCTAAAACCTGCTGTCCCACTCATCCATTGCAACACAGTTGCAGCTGGACATGGCTCCCAGTCACAGATCACATCTTCAGCCTCTCTTGCAGCCAGGAATGGGCCTGTCACTCAGTTCTCCGCAATGGAGCATGAGGAGAAATGTGTGGTCTCCTGTGTCTGAGCCCTGAACTTCAGGAGTGCCTCCTGAGTGCTCTTCCCTTCCGAGCATATGAACATTCCTACGGCAGTTTCAACCATGCAGATGAAGACAATGCCCCAGGAGGCAGCAGAACAAGACGAAAGAAAAAACCTGCATCCCCAAATGAGTGCATGGAGCAGAGAACATTATCAACCTGGTCCACTCACTTGTGGATTGTTGCAGGAAAGAGAAGTAACCCACTGTACTGTGAAACCTCTTCTTGATGCTCCTATAATTTGGAGCCTTTTTGTTACTGCAGCTTAGTTTTAATTTTAACAAACACACTCGCCCATTCTAGTCCCACTTCTATTGTCTGCCATTACCTCCTCCGTTTAGGGCTCAATGTTATTATCCTTTCCATTGGTTCGATCCTTTACTGAGAAAGCAATTGCATGGTTTTGAGTTACTTCAAAGTCTAAGCAGATGTCTCTTATACTAGCCCCACCCTAACACTTTCTCTTCTTAGGAAATGTGCAAAAACAAATAATCTACTTCATCAACTAGATAGTGGTCAGCAGATTTTAAACAATATGGGACTTAGGTAAACAACCAGAATGATATCCTGAACCTACTCCACTAGCCAGGACTATATCTAGATTTGAGTCCCAATAAAGATAGTGAATTGGTTTAGGTCAAAAGCCATGTGCTATATTGAAACAGCACACTGTGAGAGGCTAGATTACCCTAAACGTGAGCAAACGCTAGCTTTTAAAAATCTAATCCATTAGTTTATAAAACTCAAATATAATACAAGCTATTAATGATAATATTTATTATAATTTATAAATTGGAGAACTGAAGAGTTTGATGAATACAGATCATCATATTTATAGTATTCTTTATGTCCCAGCACAGGTGCTACGCAAATGTGACTAATGGAGAACAAAGATCAGAGAAGCTGATCGCTCTCCACAGGAGGTGTAAATGAACAGTATTCATAAGGAATGTGCAAATAAGCAAGGCCGAAAAAGAAATCAATGTGTTCTTGGATCTCACAAAGAAATCCCAATTATCTTCTGACATGTTTATTCTTTCTCCCCAAACAAACTTTGGTAATGATAGTTAACTGAGCTGTTACATTATGTCAGAATATTCTGCTCATGCCAATAAATAATAACCCATTTTGAAAATCCAAATTTTAGATTTAATAAGACACATCTGAAGAATGCTAACAACTTTCCACTTGACAAAAATCAGGGAACTCTTAGTTATATTTCTATGCATGTAACTAAGTAACCAAATATTCTACAATATAATGAGAAGGGAATGAATACACTTAAAATGAAGAGAAAAGGACATATGTATGACATATGCGCTCTGTGCCGTAAACCCAACCGTCTTGCATCCATGGCCCTGATATAAACTCCAGAAAGTGTTTCTATAGTTCAATGTCAGGCCTTAGGAATAAAAGCTAGCTAATATAGCACGGCCTCAATGTCAATTATTTCACACAGAACTAGTTCAGAAACAGCATGAACAAAAATAGCACAAGAACTCTACTTTCTTTTGATAACATTTATTTAAGGAAACCATCTTCAGAAACAAGAAAACATTTACCTGCTCTTTAATTATTGTTAATTCAGAAACAATATTCTTTACACTGCTGTCTCGATCTTTTTTATCCTTTCCAAATGCTGGGTTATGTAAATTGACCTCTTTCATTGCTAAAAGATTTTGACCACTTCGCTTTCTAACCTAAAATGATAAGAAAAAAAAAGGAATGGGGTGGGGTAGAAAGGGGAAGAAAGACAGATTAACAAAGTCACATGATTAACCAAGTGATCTAAGTTACAGAGCATTTAAAATTCTAGCTGTATTTACACTAAGCTCAGCTCAAAAAAATTGGTACGACCTGGGTCATTCTGCAATATTCAGTAGGATTTTACTGGGTAAATACAGAAACACCGGTGTGAATTTGAAGAATGGGTCATGCATTGGGACCAGCTATTTTGACTGTTTTTTGTGAGAGATTAATGATGCCTGTTGTCTTAAAAAGTTAGTGGCCAATTTCTAGAGCTGAGAGCTAAGACAACATCAGTGCAGCTATCTCTGCCTATTGGGCAAAAACAGTCATTCTAATTTTTATATTTATTTGTTCACTATTTTTTAATGACAAGAGCTCCAATTCAATTGAGTAAGAGCGTGCCAGAGTCTAATTTGTTTGAGAATATCAGAAATGTTGTTCTCCAAAAGCAAAGTCACCTTGTAAACACAGCCAAAAGCTCCACTTCCGAGATGATCCAAAATTGCATAGTGGCCTATATACTTTGAAGGGGCTTTGTTCTGATTAATGCTTTCAATATTTTCAGCAATTTGCTTCAGTTCGTCCTCCTAACCAAAAAATAAGAAAATGGGTTGCTGTGATACATTCTATCCTGACCACATAGCAGCCTGCCAAAATATTGAAAACTCAGGACTTACCACTAATAAATTCAGCTTTGATACCAATTCTTCATAAGCACTGATATCACGAACATAATGTCCTATGTCAATGAAGATCTCAAACAAGTGGGTGGGGAAAAGTCTACGGGGAAAAATACACACATACACTTTACATAGAACTTGGAATCTGTTGGTCATAACTTGCTTTTTGGATGTAGCTCACTGATAGATTACATGAAACAAACTTAACTTAGGTTATCAACAAAGTCGGGGGAATAATACTTCCCAACTTATCCTGCAAAAATACACTACAGCTGCAGTTGTTGAGGAGTAAGAAAAACAAGTGGAGAGGAAAGTTCTAGAGAGCCACCCTACACCACTGTGCCTGCAGTTAACAGTACTGTACTGAGTACTCAGAATTTTAAGAGGGTAGATCTCATGTTATATGTTTTTTGCCACAATTAAAGAAATCGATATGATACAGATTACACAAAGACCTTATTTGTAAGATATTTGGGGATGTAGGTATGAAACATATTAGGAAAAAAATGCTTATTGGGTGTTTTTTGAGTATGAAGCACATTCATAAATGTCATTTGATTCAATCTTCGCATTAGACCTAAGGTAAATATTAACCTAATTTTAAAATGTTTTATGAAAATACAGGTAAATAAAAAATAAACCAAAATGGAGAGATTTGTGCATCATTTTCATAGTACTGGTTTCAAGGGCTTATTCAAATGTTTAAGTTCATTAAAATGGATGGTTTAGGGCCTTCAAATAAAGGTTATAATGAATAAGCAATTTTACTTCCTTTTTATCTAAATTCAAGCATCACATTTAAGTACAGTAACAGTATAAAATGCTCCATGCTTTCTGAATGAAAGATACTGTATTAACTCAAAACCTTATGTCTATTCTCCCTTATCAACAAAATTTTAGTAAAAACTTGGGCGTATGATTTTGTCTAACCCACCAAATGGTGTGCAGACCACACATGTGGGTAACTGGTGTTTGCTTCCCAAGATGGTGACTTTTGGGCCACCCTCACCAGTTCATGCTCCTGACCCCTTGACATCCAGCTTGCTCCCCTTCAAACGAGATCCTACCCTATCAGGGATATCCAGACAAATACCTTGTTTTTCTGTTGATTAAGGGGAAATTACCAGATCAACTTTTAAATTTCTGAATGGACAAAAACAAGCACATGTTTTAATGCCATCCGTTTTTAAATGTTAATATCATTAATTAAAAAAACCTAAAAACCATGGTAGTCACATGTAATTAAAAGGAGTTATACTGACACAGCGATTTATGCTCTTTCAACACCATTTTGTTAATTTTCAATATTGAAATATCACTGCAGTAGCTCAGTTATACCTGTCGAGTCTAGGAAATCTGAAGACACATGGTTTGCAATGTTGATTCATCCCTTACTGCTGCATCTAAACCATGTATGTGAAAACAGTTCAATCGATTGATCTCAAATCTAATGATCACTTATATTTCTCTAAGCTCATACCTTTTAAAGAGTGGTCTGTTTCTCTCCATACTGAAGAGAAACCTCAAGGCTCTGAAAGCATAACACTAGAAAATAAAAGGATACATGATTCTTAAATGGTAGCTCAACAAATCAAAACATTTCAGGGCAGAATTATTAAGAAATAAACACTAAAGAGGCTTTATTGTAAGTGGCTGGCCTAAACGGAAGCCAAAGCTTACAACTAAAAACAAAAAAACACCAACACCTGCGGTGTTCTCGTATTTAAAAAATGTTTATGTTGTAGAATGCTAGGGATCTTGGTCTTGTTTCACTCAGTATTTGTCATTAATTTCTTTCTAGAAAGTACAAAATGAACACAGAGACAAGAAGTAAAATTCCTATGCTGAGAAAACCAAACGTCCAAAGATTTCCAGGAGCTCAAGGTTTATTTTGTTTCTGGCCTGCTATGTATGCCTCAATATTTATATGGTGTCTTGTGAGAAAATAAACACCAGAAATGATGACATATAAAAATAGCCACAGGCACACTGGACTCAAACTTGACAAATTGGTCTCTTGAGTAAAGAGTCTTAAGCGTTACCCAAATAGAACAATCTACAGTAACTAACTCCCTAGAACACTCAGAAAGAGGCCTGTGAGGCTTTGACTAAGAAAAATAAACATCTGACATGTTGTAGTGCTGGGAAAAAAAAGACAGCACCCTGCCTCCAATTGAACCTCTGCAAGTCCAGGAAGCCACTGGAGTGATCGGGGGCCGCTGAATCAAATCTGGGATCATTTCATAAAATCAGTGATCTGAATACAGAACAGTCACAGACAAAATTGCCCAAAGAAGCTAGGCAGATACCAAAATGACATGAAGAAGACTGTTGAGAGCAGGGGGACGGTGAGCAAGCGGAGAACATGTATGCTCCTTGAAAGCCATTCCAACCGGAATTTTTTAAAACCTACTGGCTTAACAAAATACATCTACAGGATGGATTTCACTTCATCTGTTTTCCAGCACAATGTCACATATCTTGGGTGCACTGAAGAAATCAAGTCTCATGCCTGTACCAGTATGTTCTCATTGGTAGTTTTCCAAAAAGCCCTGCCTGTCAGCACATAGATACCTCTGGAGTCTCTGCCAGGTTTGGCCATCTTTCCTGGATAATAGCTCTTAAATCAGATTGGAGACAAAGGTTGTTTCTTATTTCCTTTTCTAAATGACTTGAAATAAAGATGAGTGGCAACTACTGCAAAAGCTCGCTTTAAATCTCATTTTGTCATTCCAGTGTCATTGGAGACACTGGACTCCACACCCATCCCCCAGCCCACCCCCGCCCACTCCTCAGAAAAGCACACAGGACCCTGCGTAAATGTCTCTCCTTCTTACCTTTGGGGCCTCATCTCCTGGAGCATTCCCTCCCCCATCACACACCCCAGGCCCACTGAGCAGCCCACCCTTCCCTGAGCCCATGCTAAGCTCTCAGGCAGCTTCGACGCTTTGCAAATGTCATTCCCCTGGGTGGAAGGCCCTGTAGCAGATCCCATTGGTGCCCTACCCAATATCCCCTTATCCACTTGATGGATGAGAAGGGACATCCATTTTGTAGGTTTGTCTTTTTAAAGGTGAAATTTCAGTAACCATGATCCATTTTTAAAGATGGCAAATAATTTTTCTCTGTTGTTATATTCTAACACATAAGCAATGCATATTTTTTAAAAACAGAACTTACTGATAAACAAAGGAACACCTAAATAAAATCACCGAATTATTCTACACACAGAAACCACCGTTAAGCCTTCTATGTAGTTTTAATACCCCTCGTTTCCATGCCACCAGCCTTCCTCACCAGACATTTTTTCTCTCCTAGTAAGCATAGGGACCAGCAATCACCCAAAAATTCTAAAAAGCATAGATTATATTATCAAAGATTCCCCAGATTTCAATAACTTGACATTGAAGAAAAGTAGACATGTTAATTACCTGTAATAGATTAGTTTTTGCTGCATTCTTTTGTTTATTTGGTAAAATTAATTTTGCTATTGTATATACACCATTTTCCTGGAAAAATAAAAGGGCCATGTTATCAGTGACCAGTGACAATGCCATAGAGATACACAAGCAGCAACTAAACAATCTCAAAAATTAATATTAAAGAAGAGATGTTAGTATGTATAATTTTGGAACTTTAAGCAAATATTACAGGACAATACTAAAAAACATCAATGTAATACTTTCAAACACCAAAGACTAAAACCACAATCTTAAAAATTTCAACTGTATTTAAAGAGTCAAGATTATAATTAATAAAGTATGTAAATTTAAACTGATTTAAATACTTAAAATGAAGAATGAGGGATTAAAAAGGGACAGAGAACAGGAATCCAAATACTTTAATGCTTTGCACTGCAAATACCTAACTAAGAAGTATAATTTCTTCCCCCCCCCCCTTTTTTTTTTTGGTAATTAAAGACTACATATAGATTAATCATTGTAAAAAATTTTTAAAAAGAAAGAAGAAACAAGAATAATAGATTTAAAAAGAACACAAAAGTTATCTGTGAAAACATAGTTAACATCTTTCTAGACTTATTCTAATATAAATGTATACATAGAGGAATGAAGAAAAAGTATTACTTATTGCTTTTTTATTATCTATTAAATGTATAATTACCTGATTTCTACTCTGTGAGGACATTTATAACTGTGAAGAGCTTTACTTGCTTTAACGCATCTAATCTTTATGGTTATTCTGTGAATTAGTTTATAATTTCCCTTTTTTATACATGAGAAAACTAAAACTTAGAGAGGATAAGTCATTTTTTCCAGAAGCCAAGCCAGCAAGGAATGATTCCAGGAACTGAACCCCAATCTGGCCAAATCCAAATACCCTGCTCCACCAACTACTGAACTTCCCTGATTTGCTGAGCTTCCTTAGGGACTTTAATCATGGGTGATCTGATTCCTTACCAACTTTTATGTATTTATGTATCTTGAACGTGAAGGTAGATCTATTGTACTGGTCCCCCCCAAAACAAAGTTTGCTCTGTAAAAGTCAATAAATAGGAGGTAACTTTCACAATAGAAATCCATACAAGGGTTGTACATATAAGTATGTGTATTTATGTACATTATATTTATATGTATGTATTTGTTTATATTTATATATTTATGTGTATAGCTGTGTGCAATCAGTTTCTTGGCAATAAATATTTTGTTTGGTATATCTCAATCACCTCTAACGGAATAACCTTAACTCGTGGTATCCTATATGCCCAGAATTAAAGCAATTCAGAATAACCTTTAAAAAAAAAAAAAAAAAGTAAAGAAAACAAACAAACAAAAAAAACTGCACATAACACAAGGTAGAAACATCAACATCAATTAACCACATATCAGTTCATTTTTAGCCACATGAATTAAAAGAGGAAGGACTAGAACATAAAATGGAATTCTATAAGTTAAATAAGAAATGTTAAAATATTAAAAGTCACATGATGGGATCCCCAAACCTATGTTCTGGGATCCAGACTGCAACCTCAGGTGGGGTAACCACGGCGTGGCTGTGGAGACCTGACCCTGGGGAGGCACGTTCTCACCTGAACCACCTGGTGGGCATTGGTGTCGTTGAGTACCAGTTCAGTGAGGGCAGCACAGCAGGCTGGAAGGAAAACCACCAAGCACAGACAGCAGGTCACCACTACAGATATGCTTTTACATAATGCTCTTACTCCACAGGGGATTTTACTAGCAAAGACACTTCTCAAGAAACACTTAATTTTCCTTCTGGCCCAGCTCTGGCAGAAGAGAAGCTGACTTTTACAGTTTTCTGATGCTCCATTCCATGTAATTCATGTGCATGTACATCCCACAGCAGCCTTTTAATGAGCACTTACTGTGCACCATGAGGCAGGGACTACATCTGCCTGGTTCACTGTAATCCCCCATGCCTAACATGTGCCTGGCACTTAGCAGATGCTCAATAAATATATCTACAGTGGTTGACAGAGGAACAAATGCTTTATATATATCATCCAAATTAACCCTTATAATCAGTGTATGTACTATGATTACCAGTTTTACTGATGAGGAAACATATTCAGAGAGGTTAATGTACTAGGCCACACAACCAGTTGGTGGAAGAGACCAGGAGCCCAGCCTCAGTCTGCCACACGTTAAATCCCAAGTCCTGAGCAGTACCATTCCTGCCTCCTACCAGCCATCATGGCAGCCTTTGGTGGCATTCTGCACTGAGATACTTGTCCTCCAAAAGGTATGTCAGGATACTACCATTTTATTGAGCCCTTGCCATTGGTCCAGCAGTATGCTAGAAACTTTACTTGTATCCTCATATAATTCTCACAACACTCTAAGACTGATACTATGGTTATCATCACCATTTTACATGAGCAAAACTGAAGCTTGGAGGGATTAAGAAACTACCCAAGGCCATACGGCCATCAAAGCAATGGGGACAAAACTCAGACCCTACCATTAACCCCTTATGTTTTTAATTTTTATTTATTTTTTTATTTACATATAAAATAAACTATGTAAAATAAAAGCACCTTAAGTGTACAGCCTAATAAGATATTATATAGCTATATATATATGAATATATACGCTATTTCCAGTTCCCAAAGGCTCCCTGTGCCACTTCGCAGACATTAACCTCCCTAACATCCCACACATACGTAACTGCTCTTCTGACTTCTATCACCATCGATTCATCCAATCTTTGAGAGTCCTAAAAAGACTAAGATCTCTGAGATTCAGCTGCATTAGACTTCTTGGGGAGCCTTCAAACAGGAAATCCCCAGCACAAGCCCTTGCGCTGAGACAGAGGCCTTTCATAGCAGAAACAGCAATTAGAGGAGCCGACCCTACTTCCCTGTCTTCATATGTCTGTGAAGAAATATCTCCTCCATTCTCCAGGAGGAAAGAGTAGGAAGCAAAGAAAGGCTGCCTTCTCCTGTTCCTTCCTTCCTTCCTCCCCTCCTCCTGCCCCATCTGCCCTGCTCCCTGCCCTCCCACTGGCCCACACAAGGCCTGCCTGCTCCCTTCCTGCTCCAGGGCACCCCACTTGGCTAGAAGCACTCAGACTGCACTGTAGCCCCACTTATCCCAGTGGCCAGGTGTCCCCATGCAGGGCACAGATGGCATGACTGTTCAAGAAAATGAACAGTCTATCTCTGCTATGGGTCAAATGTGTCCCCTAAAAGTTCATGTATCAGAAACTTGATCTCCATTGTAACAGTGTTAAGAGGGTGGGAAATCCAAATATGGTATTTGAAAGGCGGGGTCTTTAAGGTGATTTGATTGTGAGGACCGTGTTGTAGTGAATGAATTAATCCATTCATAGAACAATGGGTTGATGGTTTAGAAGGTAATCAAGGGCGTGGTTTTGATGGCTTTATAAGGAGGAGTGAGCAGGTTAGCTCTCTTGTTCAGCCCATTCTCACCATGTGGCACCCTGTGTCACTGCAGAAGAAGGCCCTCACCAGATGTGTTCCCTGGACTTTGGACTTCCCAGCCTCCAAAACTGTCAGATATAAATTTTGTTTCTTTATCAATTACCCAGTTTCAGGTATTCTGTTATAAACAACAGAAACGGACTAATACAGAGGCCCTGCCAAGAAGTGTGTTCATGCATCACTGCTCCTGCTTTCGTGCGAAAATCACAGAAAGGGTGGCATCTTTCTTCGTTTTCTCTTCAGAGCTCACAAATTATGAGGAAGGCAACTCCCTTGCATCTGGTGAGGTGGGGTATGTGCATCATGTATTCTCCCTTAAGTGGGATACCCCAAGATCTAGAATATTGTAAGAAGCATGATTCTGGCCACATATCAAGCTGCATTCTCTAACCCAGCTTTACTGGTAATAAAGCTAATATTGCTTCTTTATCTCTGCCTTCTGTGTTTACTTCTCAGTGAATTCAGAACATGGAAGGGAAAGGTAAGTTTGTCACATCATTAACCTGCAAGACCAACACTGATACCATGAAGTTTCTGGCATCCAAGTGGATTTAACTTTACATTTTTGTAAACTTATAAATCATGCCAAATTAACATTATCATACTAATTTTATAATAGAATAATAATACAACATAACAAACTACACAGTATCAAATAATAAAACATAATAGTATAACATAAATACCTGCTTGAAGAGAGAAAATATTTTCTTGTATTTCTCGAGGACTTAAATCTTCTGACAAATGAAACTGCTGGATTCGGCCTGCAGCATTTGCGCTGGACAGGCTTCCAATAGAGGAACGATCAGAAACAAAATTTCTATCTCTGAAAAAGAAAAGTTAATGTACAGACCACTTATCAATATCCCTTCATAGTCAGTCCTTTCTGTGTCCTGTTTAAGAAATCTTCACCTCCTCCAGGTCATGGTGTTTTCTCCTATGTTATCTTTATTTCACTTTCCAGTCCCCCTAGAATTGGTTTTTATGTGTGGCACGAGGTAGGAGTCATTTCTTTCTTTTTTTTTTTTTTTTTATGGTCACTGAACTGACTCCACACTGTTTACGGAAAACTTTCCTTTCTCCCCTCCTCCGCATGGACACCCTTGTGTTTGAATTCTCTGTCCTGCTGCAGTCTACTTACTTGAATATATCTTGGTCTTGATTATCCTGGGTTTTCTTTTTCCATGAAATTCCAATCTTTCTTTGTTTGAGAAAAGTTCTCTTCTATAACATCTTTGGACTTGTTTCTTTTTGTTTTACTCTCTACCTCAGGAATCTCAATCATCCACATGTTAAAAACCCATCTTCTGCAGGCCATATCTTTCACTTTCAATTGCTTTTATTCCTCTATATTTTCCTCTATATTATATATAATTTCTTCATGCTTGCTCTCCATTGTACTTCTTTCTGTTTTTTTCTGGTACTCTAGCTTATTTATCTGTTCTGTGGATTTTGTTTGGTCCTTACTTTCTTTCCTAGCTCTTCAATCTCCTCCACTTTTTTTGTTGTTCTATCATTTCATCTTTAATCTCATTTACAAATCCGTGTTCTGCATAATGTCTTTGATAAAATAAACCATTTGTTTTTCTGTTTACTTAATGCACTATCTTTCACAATAGATTCTTCATCTGTCTTTTGTCTGCTTTGTTGTCTTTTGTAAATGTGGTTACCATATTTATTTATTTATTTTTACGGCTACAGTTCTATCTGGATTTCTATGTGCCCAAATATAATGTGGATGAAGACTCCTTGGACTCCCTCCCATGTCATCTGTGTCTACTAGTAACCTCCCTTCAATGGGCATGGGGAAGGTAATGGAGCTGGGTCTAGGGACAGTCACAATTGGTGGTCTTATCTGTCACTTATCTAAAAATTCAAATTTTAGGGATCCCTCCACCTGATCAAGAATACATAGCCATTTGGGAACTGCCTTTGAATCTGGACTTGTAGGTAAATGGGTAACAAACAGGTTTCTGGGAAACTTCCCTGACAACAGTGCCTAGTCACACTGAAGCCACGTCCACCCCTAGTGCCAACCTCCACTCCTAGTACCTGCTCCAGGAAGCCCAGGGGAAAGCACAAGCTCTGAAAGGATATTGTTTATCCAGCTGGGGTAATAAACTTTCCCAGAGCACTGAGACATATTTAAGATAGAATAAGAGTTGACATATATTATCTTCCCAGCAAAGAGTTTTCTAACATTCAACCATTAAAACGGACTTCAAAATGACTCTTTAGATGTGAAAGAACTCTTTTCTATCAAGGACAATTATGACCTGAGCAAAAGGGGAAAACTAGTGCCTTGTATTAGACTCAACTCCACATAAGAAAAAGGCAGGTTTTGTCTTTGAAGTATTGCTTAACTATTACAGAATTTTATTTTGCCATTAAGAAAATACCTGCTCTCCAAGAGGGCAACCTACAGCTGTTATAATAGATAGGATTGACCAATAATAAGTAATAACCACCACCACCATCATCACCACCATTATTATTCTACAAACACAAACGAACAAAAATAAAACTTTGGCAATTGTAATCATTTTGGCCAAGGGACTAGCTTATTATATCACAGTACTAAAGAAAGACTTATGACTTATACTTTAAAGTAATTGAGATTTTTAAGTGACATTCATAAAAGCAAGTAGATTGTCAACACTCTATAAATTTTTTCTTTGTTTTGGTAATGACAGAAATTGTTAACAAAGCTTACCGTTCGTATCTCTACAGTCTATTCTTATGCCTGGGAATGTTCCCTCAGAGAAAATGAAGTTGGTAACACATAGTTTCACAATATCCCCAGAGGCATAGCAAGTACAAAGTCTTAATAATATTGGTCTGATAATATCTAGTTGTATTAAAATTGATAAGTCACTCTGCTTTCATTATAATAAGTTTTATTTATGTACCACAGATAATAAATGTGATCCCCTTCAAGCAGACATATTCATTTTTAACTGTGATTCAGCACCCATAGGTCTGGCCAAATTATGCTTTATAATATTAGGTAATAGAATCTTTCCATGGAATGTACCAATAGATTTTACTATTCAATACTTCAATATATTTAATTCATAAAATATTAAGTTAGGTTGCAACATACTTCAAGAGAATTTCAGTTTAAAACTATTTTAACAAACCATGCTTATGGCTTAGAATGCTATTGGAATTCTACTTTCAAAAGAGAAATAATAATATTGTACTTGTTGGCATTACAAAGTACATATACTGATTCAAGAAAAGCGTGGCAAGACAAATGTTTTCTTTAGGTTGTTGGATTTCCATTCAGCCTTCATTTGCAGACTTTTACATTTCTGGCACTGTACTGGAGGCTGGTAATGCAGAGATAAATATATCAGAGTTTCCAAAAAATTCAAAAGATAAATTCCCCGGGAAGGGGGAGTGTGGGGGGTTAGGAAGAAATTGGGTAAGGGGCACAAAGAATAATTATGATTTGTAATAATGAATATGCTCATAATAATGATTTGATCATCACATATTGTACACAAAAAAATGATAGTCAACACTATACCCCAAAATATGTGTAATCAATTATGCTTCAGTTAAAAAATTAAAATTTAAAAAAAAAAAAAAGATGGATGCCCTTGACATTGATTAGAGCATGCTTATGATGAGCATAAATGACTCTGGAAAGCACGAATGACCAAAGAAACCCCAGAGCAGGAAGGAGTAAGGCGAGCATGCCGCAATCTGCCATCTCGTCACAGAGTGCCCAGCCTTCGATGAATAGGGCAAAGCGGGCCAAAGCCCACTCTGACTCACCCTCGCAAAATATGAAGAAGCTGCTTGATGCCTCCCCAAATGCGAATTTCCACACTGGTCTCGGGGTCCTCACAAACCTGGACCAGAATCCAGACAACACTCCAGAGCAGCTTCAGGTGATCAGAGTGGAGCAAACTGAGAAGGACAGGTATCCCCTCATAGAGCTTCACCTGCTCTTTCACCTGGGGTTCGGCACAAAGTAGGCGCAGTAACTCCGCGGTCAGTCTGAAAGGGGACGAGGAGGGTAAGGATGAGCATCACAGCATCATGAGTTAGTGACTTGACATTTAGACCAGACCCATCACCACCACATGGAATGTAACTCTAACCCTGTCTAAGTCATGGGTCAACATACTTCCAGCTTTGCTGGCCATACAATCTCTTCATGACTACTCAGTTATGCTGAGAAAGCAGGAAAGCAGCCATAGACAACACATAAAAACCAACAGGCATGCCTGTGTCACAGTAAATCTTTTTTTACTAAAACAAGCAACAGGCCAAATTGAGCCTGCAGGTCATAGTTTGCTGACCACTGTCCTAAGTTATAGCCTCTCTGTATACTCATTGTTCTGGCTAAAAACCTGCTGACCAGCAGGTAGGTACTGAGTACAAACAATGTCACCTGCACTGGGCTAAAGATAAAAGAAGTATAAAAAGCCCTACTCTGGTTTCTGGAACCTTACTACGTGCTTGCAAAAATAAGACATTCATAGAAAACATCAAAAATACTATGCTGCAGGGGAATTAAATGCAAATGATTATTTAGTGACTATTAGTGACTATAAGCTCAGTGCAAAGTGCATTAAAATGATGGTAAAGACATAAGGTCCAGCAGAGCCATGAAACATTATGACGATAGATGTTTCCCAGACTCATCCTTAGTCCTCCATTGTCACCCTCTAAACATTCTCCCTGGGTGGCGTCATCCATTCTCCTAGTTTCAAACACTCCCTCTACCCTAACACCATGATCTCAGCCCAAGCATTGCTTCTAACCTCCAGAAGTTTTAGCCACATGGATGTTTCACAAGTACTCACACTGTGTCTAGATTCACAGTCATTATCCTCCCCAAATCTGTTCTTCCTCTTTTATCTCTGATCTTGACTCAAGGCACCATCATCTTTTCAATTTTCCAAGCCAGAACACTGTAAGTCATCTGACACACTTCTTTCTCCTTCCATATCCCACCACTGCCAATCAAGAGCCCATAGTACCCCCTATTTCCTGGGCAACTGCTGGGATTAAATTCTCTTGAAAGTCATGCAACTAGGTAAACCCACAGCTCCTCCCATCCTTGTGATCGCTGATCAAATTCACAAAATAAGCCTCTTCCGTCACCTACATCTCCAGCATTCTCATTCCCATTGCTTTATAATTCCTTTCCCCTGAGCCAATTTTCCATCTTCCTCCCAAACTTTCTTCTTTTCTTTTCTTTTCTTTTTTTGCTGCTGGCTGGTGTGGAATCTGAACCCTCACACTAACCAGCTGAGCTTACAGCCCAGCCCCCAACATTTTTGCTCTGACATTAAGAACACGTGTTCTTTGGTAAACAGTGTTCTTCACCTTCTCAAGCTTTCTTTCCTTTTTTTTTTTTTTTTTTTTTTTTTTTTTTTTTCCGCGCACGGTTTTTTTTTT